AGTAGATTACTTCAATTTTTAAGTTGGATCACTCTCTCCTCTACTGCTGCAGACCGTAATTCTGTTTACTACTGGTCTCCACTTTCCTCTGGCAGCTTCTCATCTAGTTTCTGTGCTGTTGGCTGTTTTTTAATTTTTTCAGCCTTTCAAGTCAGGACCTATCTGCACTTTGGGAAGAAACATGCAAGATGTTGTCCTGGGTTCAGCAGCTTTAATGTATTACTCACTGTCTTACAATAATGTGTTCAAACTCTCACAGTTCTGGGAAGCTCTGAGACTTTAACCTGATAATAAGAGTGCCCATTCAGCAACTTATTTTATAATTTAATAATGATCATATAATTATTTAGAAAGTCCTTGGCACAGCAATTGGCACACACACTCACAGTGTACTTCTGAAGACATTGTTGGTATCTAGTTCAAGCATCTCTTTAAAAAGTTACTGAATGTGAGGTTTCAGTGTAAATATTATGTAATAGGCACATAGCCCCTGTACAAATATGAGAGTGCTTAAATTCCTACTCTTAAATGATATAGCTTCTTTCATGTTCTGCCTGTCATATTACAATTTATTTTAACATTTTCAGAGCACGACTCTCAGAGAACTTTACAATTAACTTAATCTCAGAGCACTGTCATAAGATGAATAGTGTGACAAAAATGAAATAATTGAAAACAATGAATTGATTCAAATAGGTTAGCTATACTATCCTAAGAGAAAGTAAAAAGTTATTACCAGTGTTGAAATGGTGTTTCTGGTCAAAGTGAAATCAACAGCCCAAAACAACAGCTTCAGAAGACCCAGTGGGTGAGTCTACACATTTATTCATGTGCTATAGTTGCTGGATAACCAAGTACTAAATCAATGTGCGGTAACTTGTACTACTGTACAGTAGCACCAGTGCATGGGTTTTTTTGGATGCTAACTGCGCAGTAACCTAATACTATTGTGCAATAGGGCATTAGCATGGGTTTTGCCTGCCATGCTACTGCTCAGTGTTATTGGGCTGCTGTGCGGTTTGCATCTCATGTAGATGCACCCTGAATGATGCTAAACAAATGTGTTTCATTGTACACTAAAGCAGTCCATGGAGGGATGCAGGAATGTGTGCAAGGACATGATGTAGAACTCGAGCCCCAGCCCACCAGCCAGATCCAGTCTAAGGAGCCATGTCACTAGCCTTCAGGGCTCCTCACAGGTCCAGAAATTTGGCATTGGTGGCAATTAACATTGCCACCACTCTCCCACTGCCAAATTTCCCAGCTCCATGTAATTGGATCAGGACCCTCCTGGACCAGCACTATACTTTGGATTGGGCCTACAGACCACATGAGGCCCATAGATGGACCTGGAGACACTCATTTGGCTTCTGGAGTGAAAAGGTTGGACAACATCACTGATGTAGAGCAATGCTTGGAGTTGGGATGGGGATAGAGAAAATTAAGACAAAATTGAGGAAGGGAAGGGTGGCAAATAAGTTGTGAGCCCTGCATCCGTAACTGTGAAGTGCCAGCAATCAATCCCCTTGTCAAACATTTTGACTAGGCAGTTATGGCTCAGGTCTGTAGTCAGTCAGTGGCAAAGGGAAGATTTTTTCCCTGCAAGTACCTAGTTTCTATCCATTTAATCAAGCTTCGTGTAATAGGTACAGTTTGTTTTGTCATTTACATTAGGAATTTAGACAATTATTGGCTCTCATAAAGGGGAGCTTACAACAGAGGCACAGCCAGCAGGGGAATAAAGGAGACATGTTTCTCCCTTATTGTGTTGATGTTTGTCTCAAAGCTGGTTCAGTCTCACTTTGCTTCTTCCCACTATCTTTAATGTTTTTATACCATTGATATACAACACCATTGTCTCAAAGCAGAGGTTTGTTTGAAATGCACTGACATAGAACAAAGGTATTATTGAGTTCCAGAAACACATAAGCCTGGAGTCAAAAAGTGATTTGTGTGTACTGGCTGCTTTTTAGTTGGACTTTTTATGTGCCGTTACTCTGATGTATGATGCAGCAAAGTCCCACCAAAATAAAAAGACATGTAAAGGCCCACACATTTGGGCATGGATCTGTGTGTTCTAGCATCTAGGCAAGAATAGACCAAGGCATTTGAAAATGTACTTTCACTGTTTTGAATGAGTTGTGCCAGTTAGCTTTTGAATCCTACCTAAGGTCTATTGGGATACACAAAATGCCTAATGGAAGAGCATGAAGGCCCATTTACCTTTACCAATAGCATAGTAGTGAGCACATTTAGCCAAGAAGTGGGAGACATGGGTTATAGAACAGCCTCAGCTTGATGGGGTGAGAACAGTATCCTCCCCTCCCCTATAGAATGGGCATCCTTTGCGGTGAGGGCATCCTTTGCTTTTTCCACTGACCCGCAGGGTAGCCATGAAAGAAAGGACAGCAGGGAAGAAGTCCAGCTCTATAGTCCTGGGAAGAGGGAGTCTGCCCCCTAGTCTGGCCCCTGGGACTGTTTATACATTTGCATTAAATAGTTATTGGATGAAATACGTAAATAGCACTGGAACTTAGGACCGGTACTCAAGACTCAAGACAGGACTCACAACAATACGTTCCTTATTGGGCTGCCAAATCATTGCCAAATCATCATCCCTTCCTAATCATTGTTTCAGACTTCTGCAAAGAGATAGTACCTCGTTTTGAACATGGCATTTTGTGTGAGAAATGCAGCCTGACTGGTAATGCTCCTTCATTTGAGCTTAATGCATTATTTCTCATACTGATATTCTAGCTCAGGTCTCGATGTGAAAATGAGTGAGACCCTTTCACACTTAACTCCAAGGCCATAAAGCAAGAGATGTTCCAGTGTAGGCTGAAAACATGATAAATAACAGAAGACATAGCACATACCAACATGTATAATCTGTATTTAATTGACCCCAAGGAAGTTACCAAATGCTCCCTTTTCCCTAGTCTCCAGTCTTTTAAAATACCATGTATACGTGAATATAAGACAATTCTGAGTCTCCAATAATTAGATTCTATTTATGGAAAATTTTTAAATTTGTTGTAATTTTCCAGATATAGAATCTAAGTATTGGATGGTTGCCTTGAATCCTGCCTGCAGCACAGATACAGCATGGAAAGCAGTGGGTGTGGGGAGGAGGGTTCAGGTGGCAATGGCCCCCTTGCCCTCTTCTCCCCTCATTTCTTTCTCCTGCAGCCTTCCTGCTCCCCTGGCACCTGCACCAACCCCCACCACTCCCTTCAGTCTCTGCCTCTTCCCCTCCCCCAAACTCCCCAGGCTCTGCCTCTTCTCCTCTCTACACCCACAACCTTATTGTCAAATGCTGCTCCATAGCTCCACCCTGGAGCACAGCATCTGGAAACTCAGTCCTTGCCTGGCCATGCAGCAATGTCAGTGCTGTTCATTGGTTGGGTAGACAATATAGCAGTGGCAGCACTGCTGCTTGGCCAGGCGGAGGAAAGTGTACCTGGGAGAGACCTCAGCCCCAGCCCAACTGGAGCTGTGCCTAACAGTAAGGTTTGGGGAAGGGGGACAGGGGGCAGGGCAGGAGGCTGCTGTGGGTGTGACTCTGGCCCCAACATGGGCTCAGGGCTGGAGTTAGAGCCATAGTAGCTACATGTTCCCCCTCTACTTAATATGCAAATGTAAGACAAAGGGCTTATACCTGCATGCTGACTTGGGGGGGCGGGGATCATGTTACATTGGAGCAAATAAGGTAGATTATCACGTACTCAGTTTCCAGTTATTTATGGCATGGTGTTTAAGTAGTGCAAAGTTATATTTTATATCACACTCAGCTTACTGTGGGCTAGGTGTCTGACCCTTATGTGGGCCCACAATGGTGGAAGGGTGCCAGTGATTTCTGAAGGGTGCAAGAATTTCTCATTGTGCAATACCTTCCCAAAATAGCAATACCTGCAGCATCCTTCAAGCCAAGAGTTGGAAGTGGTAGGATGTGAGTGGAGCCTTGTTTCTGTGACTTCCCCCTCCCTGACCAGTTGCCCCAGAGCCTTCCTTAACGCAGCACTCTTTAGGACAGAGACATCTTTTCCAGGTAACTTCCATGGGACTGCTGGGGGCTGAACTTTCTGGCAGCTCATAGCCACACCGGTTCTGTGTAGTCTTCACACCTTTGCCTGTTCTTGCAAAGACGATTCCTTTACAGGATCCCAGCAAGGGCTTGCAGTGATGCCACAAAGGCTACAAAGACTTGGTCTGAGCCTTTGCCAAGGTTGCAGGGCTCCTTTAGGAGAGAGTTTTCTCATAGTTAGCTGCCTGTAAGCAGTTTTCAGCAGAGTTAGCTCTGAGTTCCTCAGATAGATCTTTTTTACACAAAACAAACCAACATCCTCTAGCCTCTCTAGATATTAGGAGAAGAGCTGCTTTCCACACTGGCTACTCCTTACAGCTTACTTCTCTCTCCCCTGCTTTCTTTTTGGGGGGCTTTTGAAACTTTCTCAAATGCCCCAGAGCTGAACTTCCTAAGCATCACTGGCTGCCCCTTCTTAAAGGAATAGATCACAAAGTTCTTGTGCAAAGTTGCAGGCTAAATTATAAAATAAATGCTATAGGCTGAAGAGAACCTACATAAGAAGATTAAAACCTAGATTTTAAGGCATTAAGGAACCTAGTTCCTATTTTAGGTAAATGGAGCCTAAACTCCATTAAAAAGGCCTCTGGCAATAAAGATGTAGTAATAGTAGACTTTCAACAGTGAGAGTAGTTTAAGGGTGTACATGTATATCTAAGGTAACAGAAAATTTTACTTAATGCTATAGTCATAATTTGTGAGATAGTCTATTCACATTAATTAATATATTATCATGTGACTTATGCACAAGAGGAAGAATTAAACATGTGATACAACTTGATTGTAGTTTTTTTTAATGGAGCATATATACATATGCATGCACATATTTGTGTGACATTATTTGCAATTCTAATTGCTGAAACAAATCTTGCTGAGGTTCAAGTAATTTTATCAGTCTTTTTTTATCATTTTATAGCTTGGAAATGGAAAGTGTCAATCCTTACCAGTGATATGCAATCAGCAGGGACCAGCTCAAAGGTTTATATTACATTGTATGGAGATCACAGTAATTCAGGACCCATTTTTCTTTATGGAGATGGAGGGAGACTCTTTCAGAGGGGAAATGAAGACATCTTCGCTGTAAGTAATAAAAAATCAGCACACTATTGTCCTATTGTCCATGGTGTCCTATCAAACTACATAAAATGTATAAAGTTATGTGGTTAGAAGGGTAGTCAGTTTTTGTGCCATGGAAACAAGAAATGCTATTTTTTCTAAAAGCCAGTTAAATGCATCACATTCATATTTCTTTAGGAGATATGATCAATTCCTTTATCTAGAACCAAATAAGTAAATGATAAAGTACCATATTTACTGGAATCCAAAATGAGTTGTTTTTCCTCATTCAACATGGTGGGAAACAAGCCCCTTGTCTTGAATCTGAGTACAAGGCTGAGAGGATGCGGGGAAAAAGTGACTGCTGTGGCTGTAGCTCTCTAGCTCTGGCTTCAGCTCTGGCCCCAATCTAGGTTTGGGGTCAGAGTTGGAGCCACAGTTGCTGCCCCACCTGCCTCTGGCCTGTGCTGCCTCTTTTTCCTGCCTGTCCCCCACCCACCTTTGTCTCCCCCTCCTTGCTCCTCCATACAGCTTGCTTCCTATTGCATTCTCCTTGCTACCTCTGCCCTCCTCCCCCTGTTGCTTGCCCTCCACTGTGGCTGCAGTCTGGCTCCAGCCCAGGGCAAGAAGCACATCTTGGCTCTGCCCGTGTCTAGCCCAGCAGCAGCGATGGCAGCTCCAGCCCTTGCCCGAGCTCCATCCTGGTCCTGGGACCAGGGCTGGAGCTGTCAGTGCCACTGCCACAACTACTACTGCTGATCTGGGCAGGGGCTGGAGCCCATTATGTGCTCTGTGCCCTGGGCTTGAGCCAGTGTTGGAGCTGTGACTGAAGATAAGCAGTGGCAAGGAGGAGCAAGCAGCAGGAGGCCAAGCAAGTAGGGGGAAGGCACTAGTGTGGGGACAGGCAGTTCCAAGGGGGTGCAGGCACTGGACGGCACAGGTATGGGGGGTGCAGGTGGTTGGGGTTAGCAGGCATTGTGGTGAGATGCTTGGAGGGGCAGGCAGCAGTGGGGCAAGTGGGGGTGGGGAGAGGCAGCATGGGACAAGGTACAAGGAACTGGCGTCAGGCTTCTGTTTTCCCTGCTTCAGTGGTGGTGGGGGGATAGGACAAATTTAAGATTACCTTCCAATAATGAGAGTTCATACATGAAAACATATAATTAATTTGGGGTTAGTTTTCAACACTTTAAATCTGAAATCAAGCCGTTGTGCTTAGAAATACCTCTGTGAAATCCTTGCAGCCTCATTTAAGTTAATAAAGATTTTACAGCTATAACTGGGTTTGAGTTATGCCTGCCCAGGACCCTTCCTTTCTTCACTGATATCTGTAGCCTTCTGCATCCCACAACCACTTTGTGTGCCCTGACAGCTGGAGAGTGTGAGAGGGTGAGAGATAGAATACTGGTAGTTCCATCTACCAGCAAGGCTGCCCAGAGGGTTTATGGGGCCTGGGGCAGATGTGATGTTGGGGGCCATACCACTGCCCCCTACAAGGACCCATATATGTGTGTGCAAAGCTGGGGGACCACGTGCAAGAATTCTTGCATGCATGCATCGTGTGAGAATTCTCACATGCAGCTCCTCCCTCCTTTGCCCTGGGAAGTGGAAACAAGTGGGCTTTCCCCACTTGTTCCCATGGCAAGGAAGGCTAGGCAGAGAGAATTTACCTTGGAGACAGGTTACTAAAGCAAAATGACCTTAACAGTTTGCAAGTGAAACATTTATTAAACTTATGCTTATGAGAAGAGCTTGTGGATCCTTGCACAAGCTTGCCTTGGATATTGATGGACAGCAATATCTTGTACCACACTGTAGTCAGAAGGATGAACTCAAAGGATTGCATCCACTCAATGAGACCTGAAACATCACTCCAGGTTTCTGCTGTCAACTCCAATTCTTCCTCAATTTTGAAGAATCCAGCAACCCTTTAGGATTTTTCATGAGGGGACAAACAGCATCGATTCTTGAGCTCCATCTAGTTGTCGACGTGGAGTGAAGAGAGAGTCCTGCAGTTTCCTGAAGAATTTCCCATCTTGCAGGACTGCATGAAAATACAGTATACAGCTTCTGTACATTTCCAAAATATGTTTTCACTTCAGGGCTGTTCATGGCATGGGTACCACATTGGTTCAAAGAGTGTGCACTGCAGAGTGAAAACAATGCCTGAGGATTTTCATCCTGTATCCTAGTTTTCACGCCCTGGTATTTCCCAAACATATTTGAAGCATTGTCATACCCTTGGCCTCTACAGTTCTGCAACTATACCTTAGACTCCACCAGTACTTTCTTTATTTGCTCCATCATGTCTCTCCTTTCTTTTTATCGCAGTCCACCATTTTCAGAAATTGTTCCTGCACCTCCCATTTTCCATCTCTTTCATGTACATGTCTCATGTTAAATATCACCTGCTCAGTATGCAAGACATAAGGCATTCCATCTACAATGATTCCATAGTAGCGAGCATTTCTCACCTCCTCAAGAATCATATTTAGTACTTTCTTGACACACCTCCAAATACTCATTCTGACTATGGACATGTAGTGTGCTTGCATTCATTCCCCAGCCATTTGATGCTCTGTAACAGTTTGAAAGTGGCAGTTCAGATCTTGATTGTATTTACTGATGAACTGTACTGTAGAAAGGAAGACCCGCAGTCATCACGCCTCGGAACGGCAAATTTCGCTCTGCTAGAAACAGGGTAACATCAACCAGACCTCACAATACTTTATACCACTTTTCCTTCTCTGAATGTATACCCTTTTCAAGAGCATTATCAATGGTTTCTTTTACACTAAGAGCATTTGAAAGATCTTTCCACTGTAAATAATGTTGAAGATGACCAGAATTGGTGAAGCTCAAGTGCAGATCTGGAAACCAGATCAATTGTCTCATTTTTCTCATTTGATGCTATGTCTCCTTCAGCTTGCACCACCAAACCTGATTCATTTTCCCATTCTTCTGCTACATCACTGCTTGCTTCCTTTATGATGTTTTCATGATCAGAATATTCTTTATCCCCTGCAAGTGACGCACCACCTGCATCACCTATTCCACTTCCAACTTCCTTATTTCTTTTCACCACCCATCCACACTGATCCAGTGTTTGCCTTCCCTTTTCATCTTGAGCTTTTTTCTCCTTTGTCTTCTTTCTTTTTGTTGCCCTGGACTGGTAAGTGTGCTTCATTTTTTCTTACACGGGGATAAGAGGGTAGGAATAGGGTTGTACTTCTCCTGAGCACCTCCAAATTCCAAACCCTTTCTGACAGAGCGCATGCACACACACACACATATGCACCCAATGAAAACATATATATAAGTCAAACATCTATCTATCTATCTATCTATCTATCTATCTATCTATCTATCTATCAATAGTAAAAAATATTTTAGGATATTAGGGGCAGAATTCTAGGATATTAGAATATCCAGGAATATTTAATTTCTGCAGGTCCCCTATACTAATTATGTATCTAACTATACTCTCAAGAGAAAAAAAAAATGATGTAAATGGCGGTCTTTGGCTTAATTTTGCCTTGGGTTTTCTCCCCTGGGTCTGCCTCTGTTTAGATTGTCATGCCAGAGTGAAAGAGAAGAAGGGGAGCAATGTGGACATTCTTCTTATTCCACTGTGTCTCAGTGAAGGATATTTCTTTATCCTTCAGGGGAATTTGTACCCAGGGATATGGGTCACATCTAGATTTCTAGTATAAATGAGATCAAAAAATGAACTCTCTAGAAGGTTATGGAAAATAAAGCAAACTCCAGGGGCAGAGGATATCATGAAAAGAAATCATACAACAGAGGATGAGGGAGTCAGTGGAGAGTTTTCAATTCAAAGGATGAACTGTCTTTTTTATAAGAGCACCCTACTTCATTCTGGGCTTCTTAAATAATGTGCATGCCAAGTTTTTTCACTGAGGTCACTGTGGTTACATGTAGAATTGGAAGCATTAATAGCACTCATAAGAGTTAATCTTACAAACACAGATTTATGAGACAATTACTGTAAAACAGAGCATTTTGTATCAAGAGACCCCATTTTAAACACAAAGATGTTTGATTACAAACATATTTTTAAAAAGAAACATTACCATTATCGACTAAACTAATTGTTCTATAACATTTTTTCTATGTTCTAGCTAGATACATTTAATCCATTGTTTTCCAATTATAGATTGACACTGCAGACATAGGAGAGCTCTATAAAATACGCATAGGACACAACAACTCTGGAGAATCACCTGCCTGGCACTGTGAAGAGGTGAGGACTCTGATCAAGCCTTGACTCTTTGTAAAGTAATCATCATCATGACATTCCAAAGCTGCAAAATATAAATAGTGGAGAAATCCTGGGAAAAAGTATCTTAGCTGACATTGATGCTTATTGTGGCATTTGGAAAATGACTTAGGTGGACAGTTCTTATGGAGAGTTCAGGGTAGCCAAAGAGCAATATTGCAAAAGTTTCTAGGGCAATATGGAAAGCCTGAGCTCCCATTGGAGTGGAAAAGCTATGCCTTCCTGGTGCTGAAGTACTAGGAAAAGTCTTAAAGGGTCACCACTTCTTATACTCGGTGATGACAATGGAGCAGCCAGCAGTGTCTTGTTAGGTGAGGTAAGTTTGGGTAGGAGAAAGGCTAGGGGTGGAAAAGCTGACACCTAAGATGTACCTTATGGAAGCACATATTTACGTTTATTGAAGGTTTTGATTTGCATACAGTGTAACTTACAAAATGGACCTCCATGAGCAGGTCCCGCAAAGTCTGCTTTGTGTGTTATGTATCTTTAAATTCAAAGATTAGAGAAGCCTAGCCAAAAATAAAAATAAAAAAGGCAGAGGGAGGGGGAAGGGAGGAGGAGGGGAGGTAATTTTTCCCTCCTCCCCTTCTTTCTTCCAAGTTTGCAAGGTGCTAGATCTTAATTAAAGTCCAATATCTCAAAGAAAGGAAGGAAAAAAACCTCAGCACTTCAATGCATCCTATTGATTCTTACCTTATAGAGATTGTTTTATCTGACTCTAAAATGAAAACAACAGATTTAAATCATCAGTCAGTCACAGATTTTAGGCAGCAGCCTGTTAATGAGGGTTCAATCGTTCCTCTGTTTTTTAAGCTTTGAGGAAAGGAATCAAATAAATTGAGTATCTACTTCAAGAATTCTAAAACTTTGTGTGGAAGAGACCCAACATCTGGTCTCACCACTTTTTTGGGATTCCACAGAGGTGAAGGAATAGCTTTTGGCTGGTCAAACAGATTAGTCAGTTTTGTCCCTTGGAATTCCTTGCATTTTTCTGCAGAATTGAAATCAAGTGATAATGTTGCATTATTCTTGTTCTACAAATGACCCACTACTGATCTGTGCTGTGGTGCAGAGGTACTAACTGTCCATGAATAAGCCCCAGTATATGTGGTTTTCATAGCAGAACTCATGATATTCTGATAGATTAGGGTCTCTGTGTAACTGCAAACCCCTTTTCTGTGTAGGATGTTATTTTGCTAACTTTGAGTGAGCTTTCCCTTCCCATATGTTTTGCCACAGGAGGTGATGATAGGTTTTGGGTTTGCCAGTTTTCTTCAAGAAAAGATGGAGAGCTTTGGTGAATCTGCCACAGTCACTCTCTTTTAAATATAGTATTTGGACAGTGAAACATTGGAAGAGGGTGTAGAAGTGTTCAAGAAGACTGGGTTTATTTGGAAATTTTTATGAAAGAGGCACTATTGACTTAGAGCAAAGGCTCAACCCAGGTTAGGGAGTAGTGGGCAGAGGTTGCTTTATGCCACCTTGGCATCTTCTTAATTGTTGGTGTCAGGGCTAGTACATCTTTCATTGTAAATTAGAACAGTCCATGGACTACAGCAATACAGAGCCACATTGCACAGATGCCTATAAATAACCTGGCTCTTTCCCTTCCACCGCTAGCATGTCATAGGTCACCCTTGACTTATTTCTTATTAGAAATTGCACTGATGTCATCCCTGCCTCACCTCTTCACTGGCCCTATTGGTTTAATGGCCCCCTTATGTCATAAGAGGTGTAAAAGGACCATGCCAGGAAGCAGAATCTGGAATCTTACTTTATCTGATGCCTGAAAATTAAGTCATAACTTGATTTAAGCCTTGACCTTGCAATCACTTATGATATGCCAAAAATCTGTACTCAAGTAAAACCCCTTCAGTAGGAGTCTAGGAGCTCCTGCACAGAGCTGGTTGGGACTTAAATATCATTGTTATTTTAGGTGCAATTACTGAATTTTCAGTCAGGGGAACAGTTTTCTTTCCTTGTCCACCGGTGGCTGGCGCAGGACCAGGATGATGGTGGAATCTCTCGGGAGCTTCCTGTTTTGCGCCAGGGTCAGGCTGTTCTTCCAGGTAGGTAAACTAAAACACCAGACACATTAGGGCCCCAAGTGCTACCAAATGACTTCAGTGTATTGATTGCTTTTCATTAATGACCTCTTAGATTTAGCAGCTGTAGTGGTTTTTTTACTCTGTTCTTTCCTTTTGTGGTGATTGGACATGTGTGGTCCCAAATGGTCAAGTGTAAAAAAGGGGAACTACAAAATCTTTGCTCAAAGGCTTTAAAAATCCTTTAAAATGAGTCTTGTTTTATTGTTATAAGTGAGATACTGATATCCCTGTTTACTTTTCATGTGGAAACATGCAGAATTGTGAGTAAATCTCACAGGCATTGGTCCTTATAAAAACTGTGAAACAAGAAATGTATAACTCTTGATTCCATCACATGTGAGAAAGATGATAGGTGGCTATAAATATCACAGGAATTGTATTTTTGTAAATATACAGTATGTCTTGACTAATAACATTGCTGCTTTTTTCCTCTTCCTGTTACCTGCAGCTAAAGAATAGATACACTATACTTACACAGAGCTGTGCTAACAAGTTTTAATACATTCATAAATTTAAATGGATCTGTTGCTGACTGGCATAGATTGCAGGGAGTAGGAGATGATGAAATGAAGGACAGGGAGTCTAAATGGTGGTATGTGGATGAGAGAGTGGACTGGGAACTTAGGACTAAATAGCATGAAGGCGTGCTATTTATATGATTAACCTCTGGAAAAAAGG